AAGGTGTAAAGCGTGGGAAAAATATATTTATGACTTTGAACTTGGCACAAAATTTAAAAAAGATTTTTATTCCAGATAGATTATTTAACAATTGCATTATGCAAAACTGTACGTCGGATCTTAATGGGCCTTGCGGTTCTCGTTTTGTATTGCAATCAAGTACTATTCTACAAATGTATGGCCTGATTGGGTTATTTTTTCACTGTTAAATAAATAATTTAAAATTGTCTTATATTTTACCACATTTTTTGAGCTTTCGAGCATTTTAGAGCGAACATTTCAAATCTGCGGATATCGGACCAACTCTATCTTGTAGCAATTTCATGTCGAACAGATTTATAAGTACCTATACATATTTTCTCTTAAATGCATACTTACCGAGCTATATGCGATTGTTTCCGGCAAAAAACGCGATTTTCGATTTTTTTCACTTTTTTGTAGCTTATGCAAATAGCACACCTTTTCAAGCTGGCGCACCTCAATATTTTCCTATACTGATTCTGGCCTACCATGGAAGAATTTTCAACTAAAAGTGTCAGTCGCTGAACAGCGTTAAAATTTGTTTAATTTTTTTAGAATACAATTTTTTTTCTGAATAGACAAAATAATGATGCAAATTTACTTAATGTCTAAACAGCGTGAAAAAAAAATAGATACAACGCTCTCCCTTAAATTCACGATCAACCAAACTCCTGCAACTAATTGAAATAAATTTACTATTTTTGCAGCGGAACATATTTTATTTATTCTCACAAATCTTAATCACAGTTTTCACTGTGAACATTATAATAAATATCCAGTCGAAATATATTTTGGATGTGCCTTTCCGCAATGGTTTACTCTGATAACTTATTCGCATTGGGCCGGAGCACTAGTAGAAGTAAGTATTGGAAACGTGTTTTCAATAAAAGAATGCTTTATTTTAAAAGCATGTGGTCTGATTGTTTTTAGTTAACCAACTTTATAAGTACTTTCACATGGAATTTCACCGATCTATTTATCATTATGATCAGCATTTCACTGAGAGAGAAATTTAATCAAATATCAAACCGGATCAAACAGAGCAAAGTAAGTCTGTGAGTATTAAAACAAATGGGCATTGAAATATTTGTTTTAGAATCCGCCACATAAATTTTGGAAGGAGATTCGTGAAGATTACTACAGGGTCTCTAACTTAACGAAAGTCGTGGATATTCAAATCGCTGGGTTGGTGCTAATTTCCTTTTTGAATAATATATTCTTCCTATGCATTCAACTTTATAATAGCATTAAGTAAGTATTGGAAAACATCGAAACATACTAAAAGCATTTCCTTTATTATCAAGGACGTATTAAATTATTAAATATATTAAATAAAAGTCAGTATTTAAATTTTAAATTACTAAGTACAACGATGGCCGAAAAAATTGCTCCAGGATATACAATTTTGTATATTGCATTGTAAAAAAAATCGAGATATATGTGAGGAATTTTTTTCTGTGGGAAACACAGTGAATTCCGATGAAAATAATTTTTTCCTTCAAAGCTTAGCAAGTCGAGTAAACTTCAGATACTCATGTACAGAGGATTTTCAATTAATTTAATAAAAGTGTTTTTTCGTTTACGAACATATTCAGGTTCAGCAATATGCAGGTTCAGCAATATGCCAATGGGACTTTTGCAACCATTACGTTAACTAGTCATTAAACTATTGATAGTTTCGTTTAAAACTATCACAAAAATAGGTGCTTAAATTTTATTGTAATTACATGTTTGTACATCTTGGCATGTGATTTTGTAATGAGCAAAAATAATTTTTGAAATATTATTGATGTTTCAGAGAAAGAGAAGCCGTTATAGACAGTATCTACTTTTTCTATTCCTTTGGATATATTGTGTTTCGGGTGGTTGCAGTATCTCTATATTCAGCGACTCTAAATGAAGCTGCCCGCAAGCCACTGAAATATCTGTACTCATTGCCCACAGAAAACTACACTATAGATGTAAGTATTGCTTTTAAAATTTAATTCCCAAAATATACAAATAGCTCACGTTTAAAATGGAAATAATAGAAAATAAGCTATAATAAATATTTGCATAATACTATTTTTAACTCTAGGATGCAATCCGTTCTCAGTAAGATTGATATATAATTATTTATTAAATATTGCGTGCTTAATACGCACTTAATGACTTAACACAGAAATAACTCAGTATAGGTTTAGGAGTAAATATAGCAGATTAGTGCAAATCGTTGTGATAATGACAATGCAAAAGTGTTTATTAGGTTTTATTAAAATCTCAAAATACACAGTTTTTGACGAATATCTGTGAAATCGCTCTGAGTATGAAAACAGTTAACTATGGATATGTTTGTTTTCAATTCTACACCCGATTTCGATAAACATTTACAGCAAGTTTGAATTCAAATATTTATGAAAAATAGTTTTATGTTCTCAGAAGTCTAGTATTTACATGATTTTGAACACCATGTGGAATTTCCATTAAAATAGTTTAGTCTTCCGTGTCTCCTTTGGCAAATTCGCTAATTTGTAAGTGTTTCAAGTTAAGCCACTATGTGTGGGGGAAAGGCGGACGATCCTTTATTAAGCGTTAAAAATGGTTTTGTCACCTTGTAAGAGGCGGGTTCATATTAAGTGCCTTTTCTTCTTGTGAAATTAAGCACTGTCCGCCATGTTTCTCAGTTTTTATTCCTTTTTTCTTATCGTGTAAGGTGGATTTTTGAATGTTATCATTTTCAGCAGCCTGTCTTAAATTTTTTCTGCCCTGTCGGATATCTTCGAATGCCCTAGCAAGGTTTTCTTCAGTTTTTTTCATTATAGTTCTTAAAATTAATGCAGATTTTCTTTTATACCGTCTAACTCTGGTGTCCGCTTTTTTGACGAAAACGTAATTATTTAAGACAAAAAACTATATTTTCTAATGAAATTGCCATGGGTTTACTCATAATAGAGCACATCAGCAAAAATAACTCATTTGGATTTTTTATGTTTAGTATTCTCTTGTATGCAACAGACTCTTTTACAGTTTTCAAATTCAATGAAAAAAATACAATTCGTAAAATACTCAAATCAGCATGAGAATATTTTAAAGCATTCTGAATTTTTGAAACATCCTGCGCGTGTACTGAAAGAACGAAACTCAGAAGCCTCTAAACGAATTAGTGAACAGTTAATGCTACTTTGAATTTCTGTCCTGCAAATCTCGCAAATTATGCTTAAATATGAATGAAGTTTTGACACACTTTGTGCATTTTTCCCGAACAATTTCTTTCACCATAAATCTGTCTAATCCCAGCGTTAATATGAACTTACAAACAATGAAAAGAACTTCATGTAATATTAATAAGAGAGATGATATTTTTTACACACGTTTTCTGCCGGTATAGAAACAGTTTGGAATGAGATAGATATGTTAAAACGGATTTCTGAGCGGTTTAGACACTAAATTCCCTGTTTTTACTTCTGATGTACAGTCGTCGACACATAAAAGTAGAACACTATTAAACGCGACTTTTCCTCAATTGTGTCATTATTTATTGTAGGTAGGTATTTAAAAAAAATAGATAATTACTGTTTTAGGTAAGCCGATTAATTACTCAAATCAACTATTTACCCAATGGTATTACTGGACATGGATTTTTCCTTATAACAAAAAATTTTTTACTTCAGGTAAGTTGTCAATTGTATTCTTGTTAAACGTATGTACTGTATATGTACACATGCAAGTGGTTACGATCGAAAATGAAGACGATGCGACTTATTAACTTTAAATTAACTCCATATAGTAAAACTCAGTGTCTTCGTCCAATTGTGTTCCTATAACGTATTTATGGGTCGTTTTAAAATATGTCGGAAATAGCGTTGCACTTTGAACGGTTTTTCGGTTTTTAATTTTAATCCAGTTATCTCGTTAGTTAGAAAACACATTTACAAATTTCACATGAATACTTTTTTCTATCAAGAATAAAAACGAGTAGCGCGATTAATCAACTGTATGTAGGTATTTTTTCTATTAAAAATTTCTAACTAAAATTTCCCCTATTAACAAATCGTTTCTTAAAGATTGGTAAAATTCTCATATTATTTGATGAGGGAAAGTGCGCTTGTTATTATGCATTAAGTCTGTTAAGCGACAGTCGCAAAAAACAAACCAACTTATCAATTCGTTCTAATTTTTCTCATCAAACTTAAGTTTTGTTCATCAGTCTGAACAGTGAGGCAACGATTTTCATTAACTTTGTTTTATATTTTAGGCCGCTGCTACTGTGGTAACATTCGAATTGATGATTTTCCAGTTTTCACCAGTCAAAACAACATCAAATCAAACTTCATTATCTTCGGGAATAATTTGCATAAAATAATAAGCAAGATTAAATCACGTAGACTTAGGATTTGATAGTATGAATCGTAGTTTACCGGATATTAAGTAATTTTCTAATTTTTTATTTATATAAAATTAATTTATGTATTATAAAAATTGCGAAAACCTGTTTGATTATTTGTCTAATAAACATCCCTGTTTCGATAGTAATTTAGCAAAAAACGTTTCTATATTTAAAATCGAGAAAAAGCCTAGTTTGAGATAAAACTTACTTGTGTTATCGAATATCAGTAATTTAAAAGTGAATATTCCTTAAAAATCTTAGCGAATATAGGAACTAAGGCAAAAGTTAGTATCTGTAAAGCCCTTTGTATAAATGCAAAAAACCGAAGAAAAAGCTACCTATTAACCTTCACCATCAAACACTTTCCCGGACACTTTAAGACAAAGGAAAACAGTGATCAAACTTCGCCCAATTTGCTGACGAATCTCCAGGTACCTCCTCAAAAAAACCCGTTAGTCAGTTATCAAAAAAACGGTAAATGAATATCACAATATGGAAGGTAGAAGACGAAAACAAGAAAGTAAACGATCTGTTACAGAAATAAAAAGATAGAGCCAAAGCTCAGAAAATAAAATCTTTTTCTTCGGTGGCGTAAGCAAAGAACAAAAAACGACACAGAGAGTGGCAAAACTGGCTGACAAAAAATACGAAAAATGCTTTTAAAAAAATCGGTAAACAATACAATTCTATAACTATAAAGAAATTTTCTCCGGAGTGCATGCAGTCTACGAGAATTTTCAAACAGATAAGCGATGAAAATATAAAATCATGAGAGGTGAAAAAAGAGCTGACTCTAAAAAAGTTTATAAAAATAAAGATATTTGAAAAAAGTTAAATTTTTTAAGAACTTTGATCATTAATAGCAGAGATGCCAGACATTGTTAACAAAAGTAAGGTCAGATATTCTTTTGATCCAAATAATATCGCAGTACCCTTTTGATCACGTGCTTACGGGACACCCTGTACAACATCATCGTAGTCTGGCCAAAATGCTGTCCGCCCCAGAGATGGACTATTGGAGAAGAGCAGCAGGAAGATCAAGGAGATAAAGAGTTACAAATCAGCGAATAAGAGAAATTATGACAGTAGGTGAACGCACGATTGCGGACAAGATAAGAACAAAACAACTGCTATGGTACAGACATGTGCAGAGAATGGACAACGAAAGACTACCTGAACAAATGGACTCCAAATGGGCGAAGAAGCCGCATCGAGCCACCTGAAAAAAATGGTTTTAGTATAACAGTAAATCATTGCAAGCTTCAGTTATCTGAAATTAGCAATGAAAGAAAACTGTGAGAGTTAGTGAGTTAAGTTTAGTATTTGGTAAAAAAAGAAAATTCTGTGCGTGTTTTCAGTTATGTTTAGAGAAATAAATTGATGGTAAACATTTTTGTATCGGAAAATTTTGTATTTCAATTTGAAAAGGTTCAGTACATTTAACGTAACTTATAAAAACCCTATTAATAAATAATATAAACGCTAGTTAGGCATCGTCAGCGGAAGGTATCCAAAAAGCCATATTTGTGCATGCAGACGCTAACATCATGTATTTAGGATTGAACTGAACGCATTGCACTGGACCAGGATGATCAGCGTTAAGCACACAGACTTTATATCCAGTATCAGCGTTCCAGACGTGAACGCGTCCATCGGTTGAACCGCTAAAGATAAACTGTGAATCAGGACTAAACGATGCTTCAATAGGAATGCCTGAAAAAATCATTAATTAATGCATTTATTACTTTAATCAAGGTTGCAGTAACCTTTGTTATTCAGGTGGCCTGTAAATGTTTGCAAGGGTGTTCCGTGGAAAGCATCAATAAGTCTTATAATTGAACCATTAGTACTTATTAAAATTGTTTTACCATCCCGGGAGAACTTCAAACCCGTCCAATCACATTCCTTTTCCTGTGCTAATTTAAAAGTTACGAAAGGACCCTGAAAATAAATGAGACGCAACAATAAATTTATATGAAACAAATGATGACATAATGTTCAGAAACTGATAATTTGACTAAATTGTGCTTAATAACAGTGTTTCATAAATAAAATCGTATATTAGTTACTTTGGCCGTTAACAAACAAACAGGAAATTTACTCTTAGCTTCAACGGCAGTAATTTCTTCATATGACGTCTGAATACATTTCATGATGAACTGTTTAGTGGAACAACATTAAAACAAAAATAACAAGTGGAAATAAAGAAGTCGAAGGAAACAAATCGAAAATGAAATTTAACTCTACCAAGTGCATTGCCCACGAACAGTTCAGGAACGAACAGTTTAAACCATATCCAGGACAAATATCTTCCCGCGATAGATTTGAAACAAACGGAAATAAACAAACACGCTAACCAACGGGTTGACCCGTTTAATGAAATTTTTTTGCTCAAATTGCCCTCTGATGAAGAAGAAGAAACATGTGCATAATGCATCGTGTGCAATGGACCTTAAATACCCTCAATTGTAGGGTGGTTGCAATGCGTCAGGTGCAAACTCTGGGCTCAGAAGTTTCACAGGGTTCAAATTCTCAAAACCGGGGAACGCATATACTTTTATACGTTTTTTATACTATAAATAAAAGTATATGGGGGAACGGCGTTCTCATGAGAAAAGTGGGAGAGTTTCTGTTTACGAATTCTCGAAAGTAATCGAGTGATGCCATACAGTGTGGAAGCATCAGAAAAAGCTAAGGACGGGAGCAATCACATCAGCGATGGAATCGTTCCCGTTCCGTTGAACTCGAGAATTGAAACCCTGATCCCCAAGATTTCTTGAATTCTCGAGCTTAGATTATTATTTGTGGGGTCATATGGAAAAAAACGTGGTTTACAAAACATTATCAGAAGCTGCTGATGAAGACGCATTTTTGAGGCAGCCGATCTGATCCGAAATATTCCCATTATATTACGAAGAGTAACTAAGTCTCTCCTTATGGCCTCTCTTGTACCTTGCGACGAATGGCAATTTTGAGCACGTTCTATGTCGATTTTAAACTGATATTGTAATTCTAATTTAACCTTGTCTTCTTCTAGCCATTAGAAAACGGATTCACTTTAGGGCAAAACTTTATTAGAATGTTTTACTCTATTTGGTCTGAAGATTACGTATAGTAAGTAGTCATCTTCAGTCATGGTGCACCCTGATTAACATACCTTATCAAATGATCGAAGGTCGTATAATTTTATGCATTCCGAGTTGACTCCAGCAGCGAATATAAGTCCTTCGGGGTCATAAGCTGCTACAGGTCTACCTGATAAATGCATTAAACCTTGACAATTGGGCGATCGCAAATCCCATAATCTGAGTGTTTTGTCCATAGACCCAGACAGAAAGGTATCTTCAACAGGCGACAAACATAACGAGACAACCTTTTTAGTATGTCCAGGAAAGTACCTGCAATCCAAAAAAAAAATCAATTACTTGTTAAGTAAGCAATATCTGAAAAATATCAAAGCCACCCCCCCACCCAACTACTATACGAACGCACAAACATGACAAAGATCTCGGAAAGACTCATACAGCTACAGACAAAATGGACAAACAACCCCTACAACTGGACCATACTGAATCCCCTTTGTCTTACAAGACCAACCAGACAATCCCGCTTCCGTTTCCCTACATTAACGCTACTCGAACACTTACAAACGCAACGGACTAGTGGACAATAAAATAATTTCTTCTTGCTACTGAAATCTTATTTATTTAATAACATTGTTAACCTAGAATGGGAGAATTTTCATATTTGTTTTTTATTTAGATTGGGACTGCATGTATTAAACAAGGGCAGAAATACCGATAGGTCGATAGCCTTTTTTAGAAATAAAGATGTTTACTACTACTATTGTTAACCTAGAATAGGAGAATTTTCATATTGGTTTTTTATCTAGATTAAGACTGCATGTATTAAACAAGGGCAGAAAGACCGATAGGTCGATAGCCTTTTTTAGAAATAAAGATGTTTACTACTACTACTACTATCAAAGCCAAATGATCGCATCATTTAAGACAATCCTTCCCACATAGCAGACACATTATTTAAACTTATTGCAATATATGTATTACAAACAAAGTGAGAAGTTGTAGAGTTAGGTGCATTATATGCAGCATTGCGTACATTTAGCTACTCAAAGAAATACTTATAAGACAGTTTGCTTGCCATAAATAGTCGTGTAAAATAGATCACAAAAAGTGCATTTTCTTTACCACCAGATATTTAATGCGTGCTGGGTTTACAGGTTAAAGACTAGCATTTTTCGTATTAATATAAATGGATACTTGCCTGATATATTTATTATCATGTAACGATAAATATCGAATGGTATCGTCAACTTTTGTCGAACTATGAATCGCGGTATTTTTGGCATGTGTGAAGTGTATCAGATCAACCCCATATTTCTTACTGTTGACCGTTCGTACTTGAGTACCCTTCTCGCAGTCGTAAATTACTATCTGATCATCTTCACTACAAGATATCAATGTATCTCCGCTGGTGGAGAAGTCTATGCTATTTATTTTATCTGTGTTTTCTCGAAACACTTTAGCCACGCGAAAAGAGCGGACCACTTGATCCACCAATTTCATTTTCATTTGGACGAGTGAAAAAAAAATTCCGTTCAGTAATAAAGGGCTACAATATGGGCTATAGACAATTATTCCAGTCGTTTATACATTGTTGATGTCGAGCCTCAAGTTCTTTTCCAGCAAAACAAAAATTGACATAACCTATTCGCTTTGACGCATGAGTTGGCATATGACATGCAAGCAAGCAGGGATGAGTCTCTCTATTCACGGAGTCGATCCGATTGCATATGATTTGGCAACTTTGTGGTAGGCGTAGGTCAACTAGATAGGACACTTTTGCACGATATCAAGCTGCATCCATTCAAATAAGAATTTTGCAGAAAATTTTTCCGAGAGCTCATGTGAATGTCAAGTCAAACACTCACAGTTTCATTTGAATGAAAGGCTGATCCCCATTTAATATGAAAAGTCTATTGCGTCCGATAATTCGAGATATTTGTTTTCGGCTCAGAAGGAATTGTTATTGTTGTCCATTCCAAGTGTTTAGTTTTCGAAATATTGTCAATTTGATGTTTTCATATGGCTATTTTGTCGCATCTTATTTGAAATACGTATAATATAATTCAAATCGCCATTGAACTATTTGAACATTTTGGTTGATAAAGACCTATAGGCCAAATCTTCTAAACCATCCTGTATCATATAAATTAAAACCTTTATGTATCGACTAATTCTATTCCGAAATAAAAGTCGTTTGTATGAAATCCTGAAAATGCGTTTATTGATATTGACTTATCATGTTACCACGACACCAAGAAGTCAATATAATATAAGTCAATAAAATAGAAAACTTCTACTTCTAGTTCTCTAATAGTTGTCTTTTCTGTGATCGCGACGTTGCCTATCCCAATTCTGGTTGTTGCCACCTCTATAGTTTTGCCTGTCGCCTCGGAAATTGCCCTTAAAAAACACAATGTTTGAACATTTGTCCCAGTATTACAAAGGCGATGATTGAAATGTGCAAACTTCGATTCATACCTGATTCGCTCCACGCAAGAAAAAGTTTCCTTGCTTGGTTTCCAGAATTCTTTCGTTTGAATCCACAAAGTTATTCACTTTATCAGCCAGCTGTAAAGCTAGAGACTGTAGTCGCGATGGTTCGCTGCGATGCATCACTACAGTCTGCGTGGGATCATCTAACGAAGCCTAAAATACAACAAGAAATAATCAAATTACGTTAAATAAATATTATTATATGAACTCACCATAAGTTCTTCATTAATAATCATCTTGGAGATGATTGAGTGAACCACAGGTTTGTCCAGCTCAAACATTGCTGCCAACGTTGACATTGAAATTGAGTCGTACACGTGTGAATACGTGAACAGATATGTTCTCAGCGATTCTTCTTTAATGAGCTTTGTGAGCATCGATCTAAAAAAAACATTAATTTAAAACAAAATTAAAAACAATTTAATTATTAAAAGTAACTGGGTAAAAGCTCATATGTCCAATTACAACCAATTTCTTACCTTACAGAATCGGCTTGATAGAAAAGATCCCATACTTTGGCATTCATCTTTTCATTAATGATATAATTGTTGCAAGCAGACCAATTTCCGTTCCGCATAGCTTTGGCAGCTGCCACCACATGTTCTCTCATGCTCTCTGGGGGACCGACCAAACTCTGCCTTTCGGAAGATCTCAATTGTTGGTAGAACGTTTTAGAAATCATGCGGCGACGAGCATCGAATTCATGCGCTGCCATATACGGAATCTCGATCAGCATGGCAGAAACGAGATATACACATTCCAACAATTCCAAGTTTATATGCATATGAAAGGGCATTTGCCGTTGCTTTTCAATTTTTTCTTGTTCCTTGGAACGTTCATGCTGCCGTTGTGGTAAAAGACCTACAATTTTTAACGGAAATATTATTTATTACACATTGATTCGAAATGGACTGCTGTAAAAAAAGTATTTTGAGCGCAAGTACGAGGTAACTATTTTTGAACAATTTTAACTGGGTTATTCGATAAATAGCAGACTTTTGCATGTGTAACTGCTCAATAAAATAAATGTTATACGGCCAAATTTGCCTTAACTTTGGAACTGCATAAATACTGACTGTTGCGATCGATTCGATTTCGGTTTGAGGTGTTGTCTAGTCCAAGTCTTTTTCTATCAGTTCGTGGTTTCGCAAAAAAATGGTGCTGTAGATAAAACTTCCACATGGTGGCAAATGAAATCCAAAATGTCTATTTTTTTTAAGTTTGGCATGCTTCCAATTGAGCAAAAGATTATTTTTGTATTTCAACACCAAAGGCATAAAGGTAGACCAATTTCCAATGTCACAAAACAATTTTTGAATTGTTCCCTTATTCTTTTCATTTACAGGGTGATGTCAAAAAATCAACTTTTTGGTCTTGCATTGATGAAATTATTCCTCTTGGACCAAAACTTGAAAATTTTCGTAATGGCAGGTAGCGAATTTAAGAAACCACGTTTTTAAATGTTTTCCTATCTCTAACGCTTTAGACGTTATTTCATACTAATGGGACACCCTATACAGCTTAGTGCAAAGGTTCTTTTTTTAATAAAGTTCCGCTGTGCTCTTCTTAAACACCTTACAGATAATATTTACTTTGAACGTGATATTCTGGAATAAAATGGTCACCTTGCACGATCAATTGTCTCAAAAAATACAGCCAAATTGCGTTAAACTCGTAAATTTAATTAAATTGATGAGGTTTTTACCTTGAGCAAGCAATTCCTTCGGCTTTCCAGTCATCATGAGGTCTACCAAACAGTTGTGGGCATCCTTAATATTAGCATGTCTAAAGGCACAGAGTCCGAGATGAGCCATCATTCGGTTATACAAAATTTGCGTGCTTGGATCAGAATGTTGAATAGTTTCTTGCAAATGAGACATTAGCACTAGATCTCTAGCTTGAAACCAATTATCGTGCAAAGCATGATGATAAATATGCGATAAAATCGCTCTTGTCCTCAAACGGTCCGTATTATCCTTCGCATAAATAAACTTGCAAAGTTTATCCGTTTCTTGAACAGAGTGTATGTGATCCTCGGGTAATTCTCCGCTTTTTTGCTGCAAGACTCTGGGATCAAACTTGTAGTAGACATGTTCTATTTTACGCAAATAAATTCTGCATAACTCGGAAGGCACATTGGTTCGTTCCAGGTATTTCATGGTCTTATCGATAATAGTAGACACTTTAGACTCATCCTTTAGTCTTTCAACGTACTCGTTCGAATGAGGGTCACATTCTTTTAGCAATTTAGTAAACTCGTCATCGAGACGTTCAACGGAAGTAAGAACGCAACCTCTGATCTTGAAGGGAGGTTCTTCCAAACTCTCACTTTCTTCAGTAACAGAATCAGCCACCATTAAACCAGGGTTACTTAGTAAAAGGTCAAGCATTTCATTCATCCTTTCAAGCAATTTAGTCCAGTGCTCAGTCTACGAGAAAACATGGAAATGCTAATGTGGACAAACTAGCTTATAGTCAGATAGCTTACCTTCATGGCGTCAGACACTTTAGGATTATAATCAAAAATGGCTGAGATAATAGCCAATTTAATTTTCACAAAAATAGCAGGACCTAACTTGTGCTGGTCAGATATTGTCTGCAGTTCATGAAGTAATTCGATCTGCTCTCGGCGATCCGTTCGCTTTTTGCCTCGGGCAGCCATTATTTCACTTAGCTTTTTGATAACCAAGTTCAAATCAATTTCAGCATCTTTTGCAAACATTTTAGGCTTCTCCTAAAAGAGCAATATTAAGTTAACAATAAGCCTAGTAAATTATTAATTGTAAATACTTACACTGGGAATGGCGATTCCATATTTAACTTTCTCCCATCCCTCTCCATCGGCCTCCTCTTCTTCAGCTTGCTTTTTAAGGTTTCTGATGTCCTTCTCCTTTCTTTCTTTGCGTTTTGCTTCTTTCCTTTTCTCTTTTTCTTTGTCTTCTTCCTTATTCTTCTTGAACCTGGAAAAATATACCATCTTTAGAAGCTCAAAGCGAGAAATCAACTTAAATACTCGAGTCAAACCGTTACTTTAAAGATCGTAAAACGATATGGAATACTGAGGAACTTACTTATCTCTCATGTTTGTGTATTTTCCATCGTCATCTGAAGAATCTGAGCTACTGTCACTATCAGATGGCCAGTCATCAGAATCCGAATCTGAGTCTCTAACTGGCAAAGCAGCAGCCGGCGTTTGAACGACTTGGCTCTTAGCCGGTTGCTCGTCGTCGGACTCTTCTTTCACTTCAACTAAAACATAATTAATATGTGTAGTTTTTCCTGTAGCTCAAATTATTTTTGCCTCAAGTCAAAATTCACTTACCTTTCTCTTCTTCTTCATCGTCATCGGGTTGATCAGGGGTCTCCCTGAACTTTGCGATATCAGCTTCGAAATCCTTAAGATATTTCCTTAGTTTTTGGCGCATCGAAGCCAATGATTTACTGTAAATGTAGTTGTTTGATCAGCAAAAAATAAACTAAAATAAAAAAAAATTTCTTTCTAACCTATTATTTTTGCTCATGTTCTTTCTAAACTCCCGATCTTCCCAAGTTTCAATGATAAAGTCTTCCATTTCAACAAGACATCTGACATAAAACCTCGGAGTTTGCCCATTTTCTTCCTTTACTATGACTGGGGTGGCTTTTACATAAGCTTTTTGTAGATCTTCAAAGCTGTTTAGCATACTTGACATATCCTTGATTTTTTTAAAGTTTCTAATCTGCTTGATAAGATTGGTGAGTTCTTCATAGCGCTTCTCCTTCGCAGAACGAACTACCCTTTTGACTTCCTCCTCATCATCAGAAAACTGAAAAAAAAGTAGTGTAAAATTTGCACCGGAAGGGAAGATATCAACTGACTCACAGTAAATATAGTTGGTCCGGCAGGACGCTGAACTTCCTCCTCAGAGGAGCTGTCCGAGCCGGAATCTGATCCAGCAAAGAACCGACTCATGATTGCTTATTTCACAGGCTAAATGTCAAATTGTTTCGATTAGTTATATGATCTCGAATAATTCGTTGTAAAGTAAGTTAGTACGTAGATTAGTATGTATACAGTATGGAACAGCCAAGTAATTATTTGCATAATTTTTGCACTGGATTATAAACCTTATTACCAAATTATTTCCAAAAAGAATATAAACGAATTACTAATCAAAAGGCGCCTCCTTGCTAACGCGGTAATTTTTACAAAGTGGTACAATCTGCAGCACAAAACAGTAACTTTGCTTTAAAAAAAACTAAAGAGTAAATGTGAAGATTAAACATACCTAACACTTAGATTAACTAGAAAATACCGTAGTAAATTTGCAGATTGCCCAAAGAAGTAGCGATTGTACAAAGTACCTGGCGAGTTGGTCCGTTAGCAGAATGCCTAGACATTTTGCAGATTACATTGCCAGTAACAAATACATACTACTAAAGAGTTGAATAGAGCAACCTTAAAAAGCGCAAATAAGAACTAATAGAGTTTGTGAAACGAAATAAAGTGTTAGTGAGTGGAAAAACTGAACTGTTTCAAGTCACCAAAGTAAAGAACGTACGCCCAACATGAAAACTGTTCGAGAACATAAAAAATTGGAGAGCAATGGCGTAGGGTAAATAAGTTTACTTATTAATGCATATTTATATCTGCATGTAACTACCTACAAATCACTTTTTGCAATGTACAATTAATCATGCATCTGTATTTTTAACTGGTAAGTATTTTTCGAACGGAAGGTGAATATTAAGCGTAAAAGTAGAGAAATTCTCCAGAGTTTTGTTCTTCCAAGAAATTGGTTGATTTTGAAGTCTGAGCCTAATTTCAAAAATACGTCTAGAAGATGAAGTGATTCCCGACTCTCTAGGCAATAAGTATTTAATAATTATCAAAATACCAATTAAATGAAACAAGAATACGTATATTATGTAGATATATTTACTTTTCGGGCTTGGAGCTAAATTTGATGTTACACGAACAAGGTGAAAAATTATTAATCCAAATATCGGCAAAATTCGTGGCAAGTAGCGAACGGTTCCTATATGAGGAACTTCTATATTGCAGAACGGATCTTCTTTGCCATCTAAAGTCGTAAAATGTTAAGTTCCTATCCCAAGCATTTTCAGAATAACCGGAAAAAATACGAATTAAATGTTGCATGTTGAACACCCTGTTTTCCCCGAATTATCAACATTCCAAAAAGGTATACTTGCGCCAATGGCGTATTGACTTCAGTTTCTATTTTTCATCAATAACAAAACCAAAATGACTTAATAAAACCTTTATAGTTTTTAGTTTGTTGCAACGAATGTCCTCAATTACATCAATTTCCTTCCTTACTATTATCTTCTGAAATAAAATTTGTAATTTTGACTAGAGAATGAAAAGCCATTAGGCAAGTGAGTCGTGTGTGTATAACCCACTAGAAACTATCTCACTAAACTAAAAAATAAAAATAAGTCGAAGTTACAGCAAAAAAAATAAGGTGTTGCAACATTAACTCAAACAGAGCTGAATGTAGGGGGCACCTTCATGCGGTTTGGGATAAAAAATTGACTAAAAAAATTACTGTACAAGATTTTTGTGATATAAAAGAGTTTCGTAAATATAACGATAAACTTTAAAGGGTAGTAGAGAAAGAACAATTTCAGATACGTAAGGTGATAAAACTTGTAAAAGATTATTAACATTAAAATGTGAAACAATGCTTTGTGATTTTAATACCAAACTAGTGTCATCTGGGGAGTTAGCTTGGGCTTTCAGCTAACTACCTACCGAATTTGGATTTTGAATAAAGAACCGTTCTTCAGATATTCGCAAGTTCCACTACCGATAAGGACGATGCGAAACGTCAAATTACTCGTTGCCGAGTGACAGTTGAGACTTCTGAGTCTATCTGTAGGAGTTGGTACACAAGCAAAAAATGAGGATTGCAATTGTAACAAAAATTAATGTGAATGAATGAATGAATTGAATGAAAAAAAAAACAAAAATGAAAAGCTTGCAAAAGTTGATTAGAACAAATCACAATCAGATGTTAACACCAATGTCGAATTTGCGCGTTCAAAAGTCCAAACGCACCCTGGTGGCTAAAATTATAACTACACGTTAACTAGTAATTTGACACATTGTTCTGTTGACATTGGTGTTTACATCTGATTGTGATTTGTTTCGTTCTAATCAACTTTTGCAAGCTTTTATAGAAATAGAAACAGATCGAACAGTGTGTAACTATTGTTTCATGTTAAAAATGTCATCAACTCCGAAAAAACAGATCTGACAAGTCTCAGCTGTCACTCGAGTAATTTGACGTTTTGCAGCGCCCACATCGGTAATTGAACTCGCCAATAAATTCTTCTCTAAACATCTGAAATTACATTTTTTTCTTAAACAATTGGCACATATCAAAAACTATACTTAAGGGATAAGTTTTGAAAACTGGGATTACCCAAACTTGCAATTGGAAGGCCAATCCAACCATACTAAAAAAATTGGGGGCTTGCATTTAAAATAAGAAAGTTAGGTTATGGATTTTGCAAATTCTATATACCTAGAGGGCTAAATATATTTCACATGGTTTCTCCACTACTTCTAAAGCAACTGCAAGATGGAAAACTTCTAATGCACGGTCTACGTAAATCATCCTGTATACATGAAAATATGCAGTAATTGAATTGGCTGTTACACACCGTATTGTTTGGCAGATTATGGGGCCACTGGAATGGAAAATTAAGTTCTATTAACTAAAACCGGCTTGAAAATAGAAACATTGTCTCAAAGGACCCAAATAGGTCCAAACATGTGGCCTATTGACAATATGTTGTACAGTTTGAATAAAACATTTTCTATATTAATAAAAAACGTGTAATAATTAACAGAATAATTTCGAGCTTAACAAATTACATTACCTTTCTAATGTGGGCCGTAAAGTGCTTATTTTACAATCTCCAAAAGCAAGAGGAAAAAACTTACAGCTCCAGTCACTGACACTGATGACAGTAATACAGCGTTGCCAGGTCAGATAAGCTCGACATTTTTCGGTAGATATCATAAAAAATCGGTAGACGCATTTTTCTTTCACTGGCTTTCAAGGGTTTATTTTAGGGCTATTAGGGCTCTATAAAATCGCACGTTTTTCAAAACTTGAATTTTCATGAACTTTCAGAAATACTAAAATATACATAAGAGGCAATAGGTATATTTATAATATTTCTTTAAACATTTCAATACATCTTTAACAAAAATAAAATAATAGACACAAAAAATAAATAAAATCTTTATCATACATATTGTTAATAAAATTATAAATGCTAATTTCACGAACTAAACACTATTCTTTCTTTGAAATAAAAACATCTCCTCGGTCTTCCAAATTATCCTTATATAAGATTTTATCATTCATAGATAACACAAGCTTATCTTCAATTTCAAAACTATGACTAGTCGCTACCAATATATCTCTTGGTGTGAAGTTAAGATGAAATTTTACTAGTTTTTAACTTATTTCTCAACTTTTCATTAGATTAACCTGTGAAAATAAAGAGTTATTGGACATGCTAAATACTCTCATGCAATACTAAGGGTATCCCTTATTTTAATACTGCATTTGCGTTATTTCTGTAACGAAATGATAGTTATTGGAATGCCTAATTCGAAATAGAAAGCTAAATAAATGTTGTATTTTTAGCCGATATTTAATTTATTTTCCCTTAATTATTACAGATCATAAATATAATAAATTTATTCAAATTCAATGCCCTTTAAAGCCACTATATTAAATATGAACGTTTCTCTTACTTGTTGCGCAAAAATGTTGAGCAAAACAAAGATGGGAGAACGAACAACTGAAAGAAAATAAACGTCGTTGCAGGTGCAATTTGTGTATTAGCTAAATGTCTGAAGCTTTTGAAACAAAACTTAAGTTATAAATTCAAATATTAAAAAATTAAATGAATAATAGATTTTTCAATGTAAAATGTGAAGTTTACAACAAATATTAGAACTGCAATAATAATAAAAAGACAAATAATAATTTAATTCTGTCGTTTAAAAGATTTTGCGTTGATAAAAAAAATAGCCAAAACACGTAATATTAATACGTCTGACAAATTCCAGACAGTCATTGTTATAGTAAAATATAATTAAATAATTGGGCTACGCCCCAGAGACCCGAATCTACCCCCTCTCTTGCGGTAGTCTAACCCGATAAAAAAGAAGCTTGTGGCTTTTGGCAACACTGTTTGCAGGTAGTCAAATATTAACGTCAAACTAAAAAGTGTTGAATTGTCTTAAAACTATGGTTCTTATGGGATTTATGTTCGAATCACCATTTGAATTCGTATAGTTTTCTTTTACTCTTATATTTAATTAATATTTGACTCGAGATCGGTCGGTTTGTGATAAAATAGACACTTTAGAGATATAAACTGGACGGAGGATTACTCTCATCTACCGAGTTTCTGTGATTAAAAGAGTGTTTTTGTTTTGAATGCAGTGCCAGTTCTCATGTTCTAAAGTAGTTGGTATCAGAAAGTGAAAATGCAATTAACTATAGGCTTAAAATGAGTATTTCCTGCGGTAGTTTTATGAAAACTGGTTTTAGTTGCAATGGCCTCCCTCAACACAAGATCATGGAGACTTCGTAAGTATTCAAGGCAATTATTTGCTTGTATTAAACCATTGCTAGTTTTCTAGAACAGGAAATTACATTATTATACCCTAAACAACTAAAATAAAATCCCCTTTCAGAGGATTTTGCGGCTCACAATGCCAATGTAAACTGCCTAGCATTAGGGCACAAATCTGGAAGAGTTATGGTAACTGGGGGCGATGACAAGAAAGTCAACCTATGGGCAGTAGGAAAACAAAGCTGCTTCATGTCCTTAAGTGGGCATCTTACTCCTGTGGATTGTGTGCAATTTAACAAAGTTGAAGAGCTGGTTTGTGCGGGTTCTAGAGCTGGCGCGCTAAAAGTATGGGATCTAGAAGCTGCGAAATTAGTGCGGACACTAAATGGTCATAAACAAAATATCAAATGCATTGATTTCAACCCTTATGGGGATTTGCTGGCGTCCGGTAGTGGAGATAGTACCATTAAAATTTGGGATACGCGTAAGAAAGGAGTTATCTATAGCTACAATGGACACCAAGGGACTGTTAACAGTATTAAGTTCAGCCCAGATGCTCAATGGGTAGCTTCTGGTGGTGAGGACTCAACAGTGAAAATCTGGGATTTAAGGGTTGGACGGGTATTAAAACAGTTCGATGAGCATTTGAACGCAGTGACTTGTGTTGAGTTTCACCCTCATGAATTCTTGCTTGCCACCGGTGGCTTAGATCGGTCCGTGCATTTCTTTGACTTGGAAAATTTCAGCCTAGTGTCAAGTGAACGCGATTTAGGGGCTTTAAGATCACTGTGCTTTAACCCTGATGGAGACAGTCTTTTTGCAGCAGTGCGCGATTACATTCAAATTATCGGATGGGAACCGAGTAGACTTCACGACTCCGTTCCTGTATTGTGGGGAAATGTTTGTGATATTTCAACTGCTCAAAATCAGTTGGTAAGTTTACTTTTTCCTACATGGGAGTGGTGTCAATTGATCTTTACTTATTTGTAGATGTCAACGGCTTCAATAATTGTTAACTCTAAAACTGCTTAAATGATTATTAGTACTTAAGTATATCTACTTAGGTATACCTATAAGCAGCAAATAAGCTTAAGCGGATTTAATTAAATCGTAGAGAATTATCTCATCTCTCACTTTTCTTTACTTAACAATTATCGTAGCTTCATTGGCGCATAAAGTGCTATGAATGCTGAAAACTGTTGGTGCATAGAGAATCAAGAATGGCTCGGCCTTATTAGACAAAATAATGTTTAATAATTAATAATAATGTTACTATTTTTGGAAGCATCAATTTAAAAGAGCTGATCATTTCTTACAAAAAAACGCAAGAAAATCCTATTACAAATTTCTTATGCCGGTATTACACTACATACTTTTCCCCGATTTATTGGCCAATAAAGGTGGCCATTCATACAAGCGACTAATTTTCTATATTAATTTACTAAACTTTTTGCATTCAACACATATTTTTCACCACTTGAAACACAATGAAAACAAGAAATATTTTCTAATTCCTTTGTCATTTTACTTCAAGAGACGCTGCTAACATTGTTATCGGACCTTTAGCAAACAACAAATATTGAAAACCAAAAGTTTCAAGGAATTTTTCACAATCCGAAATAATTTTCAACATGCTCTACCTAAGTCGGCAATAAATGGGACAATTTGATGACGATCATACCCCGATTGCACGCTATACCCTCATACTGGTGACCTTCAATGATTAGCCCACTTTATTGGCCAATAAATCGGGGAAAAGTGCGTCGTGTATCGGCATTATTAGAGCGGTAAATGAAACAACTTCCCAGTGAATAGAAGGATTATTGCATCCAATACAGGAGCGTCTGGAGTTCACTATAAAACTAGTAGTTTCAGATATAAGGACAGAAAGTGTTGTGATATTTCATGCATTGAAATAAAAAAATAATGTTACATACGAAGGCGAAATTTCGTTTTTCGAACTCCTGACGGTTTGCCGGCAAACGCGATCGTGGTTCAATAAACGACACTTTTGGGTCTTGTATCGACTATTTTGGCTCTCGTTATAATGACTTTCATACAAAAAGTGGCAGTTTTTTACTCATTCAAATAACGTACACAGAAATGAAATTGTCTTTTGATTGTACCAGTTTACAACGTTCTACGGCTTCCGCTACTCGATTTACATTCTTCTCTGTTGTTTTGCGAGTTTATATCATTTCAACGTTCCCATTTTAATAGGTTTTATTATTTATCTAAGCAACGAATTAACTAGCAACAATCTACAAATATCAATTCAGATCAATTTCAAGTCTTAGTAACTAAGTATGCAATATTTTTAAGCATTTCAAAAGTAAGAGACTTGAGATTCCCGTAAAAAAGGCTAAAAGGCTAAATGTGATAAATAAAATAACAATTTCAGTCAATCCAGAATTTTACATGGTCCGTGTTTCTAATTAATTATAAGTAGTTTGGTAATTTCATCGGGATTTTATATAACAAATGTACTTATTAAACAATGAAATTGGGTTGATCAGAAGTCTTCTACCTTGTGCAGTCAACATTAACATAACGATAAGATGATATAGGTAACTTATTCTCGTTTTTCCCAGACCATTACAACGGTAGATTTAGGCAAATTTAACAGCTTTATACCGTTTTGGCTTAAGCTGTAAAGCTTTACGTATTTGTTTGTTGATTTTGCTACCTTCTTACACGATCACTACACATCATTTAAGATGTCGCGAGGAACCACACGGAAGACAGTTCAAGCAAGCAAATAATATGCCCCATTTTATTTGTTTTAAGGAAATTGTCGGAAAAGTTGTTATACTTAACCGCATTATCAAGTTAATTTATGTTCCAATGTTAACCCATTTTAAAGAGCTTTGGTGGTTCCCAGACCAATGCCATCCGTATAATTGTACCAGAGTTTAGTTTTAATTTGGCTTTTAGGAAAATCTATTTTTAAAGTGTTTTTTTTTTGACTTGCAAAATGTGATTTTGTTTTAGGCGCTTATTATTTCTTGGCCAACATATTTGTTTTGTTTCATTTTAATTTATTGCTCACTCCTCATCCTTGTCTGATTTTCGTATTGAAGGTATTACCTAGTATTTACTACTAATATTTAAAAATTGGTCTTCAAAACAGTTTATCGAATTGCAAACTTTGTAAACAAAAATATTTGTAAATACACATTTAATTATTTGAGAATAAATTACACGAACATTTGAAAGCAAGTGTATTTTTTCAGTTACAGACTTACTTAATTTGAAAAGTTTTCAAATTGTTCACCATGTTTTCGCATTTTTTGTCCACTAAAAATGTGGATAAGTACTGTATAGTTGAGGTGGACACACAACACTTTTTATTGGAATATTTTGCTTCAAATTTAAGGCCTGTAGAAAGACCTAATATCCTCTCGTCTTTTGTTAAGAATCGACACTGAGTACACTTTATCATATAAAGAACGAATTCTTTATTAAGTAAAACGTAATATATTCTAGAATATTAAATTTATATATAAATTACGGGACACAACTCTACAAAATAGTCGCTTTGAATATTTTGCTTTTGACAAAATGCCAAATATTTTTTTACTGACTTAAATCTCAATGTTTAAAAATAACGGTGAATAAAATTGCAAGTAATTTCAATGTAATGTAATTGGAGTTTTTTTATTTTATGTTCTTGAGGTATTATTTATGTAAAATGTATTACCTACATTCAGAAACTATTTTATTCACTTATAAATTCCAGTTTTTTTTGCCTTTTCAATTTTGCCGTACAGTCTGGTTTTTATAAGTTTGCCTTTAATAGTATTCTGTTTTAAAGATAGTTCTATTGGAGTTAAAAGAAGAACTTTTTCCTCTGGATGCACCTTCTACCTTTCTCACTGAAGTACCTACATGCAAAAACTCCCTTAAAATAAAGTCAGTACGAAGAAGTAGCTAGTAATAGGCGTAATTTTAGCAATTGACAAAACGAAGACACAGGTACACACAGAAAAAAATGGTAAAGGAAGAAAGTGTTTCTTCCTGAGGTATCTACAGTTTTCGGTTGCAAGGCTTAGTTAGGGACATCGTGTAAAAACTTAATATTTCGAAATGTAGTACTTAACATATTCCTTTGCAGATAATTCTTGATAAATAAGTGAGTTCTAAGTGTGTCGTAGGATCCCGAATAGAATTGCCACTAGGTGATGGTTCCTATGTTACATTTCCATAATGAATTTAATGTTTAGTTTTTAAAAAGTCCACTCACTTCTAATCACTTCTATTAATTGAAGACCAGAAAATTCGGCTTTGATGCAAATCACCCAAATAAAAAAAAATTTAAAATAAGAATTAGTCAATATCCCAGTCAAACTAATATGTTATTGTTTTAGTATTAACTTATTACTTAAGTATTAACTTACTGTTGCACCAGCAAGTTTTCATTTTGTTTTTTTTTTGACGAAAACATTCGTTTATTATAGACAACTTTTCTTTTTCAGGTTGGAGCGTCATTCTACTTAACCAACGTTCAAGTGTATGTAGTGGATTTAAAAAAATGCTTTCCTATGGGTTCGTTGACTACCCCAACAATAAATCAACCAGCCACACCTTTCACACAACATCCCAGTCTCAGGAAAAGTTTTTCTAAAGCAGATCGGCCAGTTAGTTTGAAGGGCAGAACTTTGGATGTGAAAACTATCGAAGAAAGCACGTCAGGAACCGATCCCGAAGAGGAGTCAATTGCTGATATTACTAACATGAATGATTACCACGAGATTTTCAGAGGTAAAGGATGTAAGTAGTTTCTTATTTGTTATTGTATAAGCGTGATTTCATAGATATTTCGAGATTATTTGAGTAAGCTACTATTTTATTTGTCCGAGTAAAATCGTTCAAGAGAAAGTTGGCTAGAAATATGACTAAAACTGAATCTATCAATAATTAAGGCGAAACTGTTGCTAATTGGTTCTTAACTTGTTCGTAAATGGATGTTGGCAACTTTTTTCAATGTCGATCTTCAACATTTCTTATATAGGTAGGTACTTTTGTGATTATTTAGTAGCCAGACAAGTTTTCAATTCTTAGAAAGCACAGTAAAGGAATTAATGTTTCCTTTTGCTGGATTTGTCCTGTTATTCGCTGATAGCAGGTATTCTTACGTTACATGGCTTATTAGCTCAGCAAAGGCTCTTGAAAATATCGTCGGTTTTCGAATGAAACTTTAACATATGTGCCCAACACTAATTGTTGTAATGCAATAGTATATGATTACAATTGAATTCAAGGACAAAGAAATCGATAATTTATATTATTAAGCTTTAATTGCTTGAGTGCCATATTACATCCGGTTGCAAAAGGGCACTCCCCAGTTATTGTATTCCATAAGGTATACTTGATGCGGCAAATAATTCTAATTTTCTTAACAAATAAAACGTATTTGACGATAATTGAATACAGTGTAATATTCAATGTAATTATTTATTCTTAATTGATAATGAACTATAACCGCAGTGGTTTTCGCGATATTTAGCTTAAATATGGAGTGTTGTTAAGAATTTACATAATTTTGCGTTTTTTTCGTTGATTCTGGTTTTCACGTAATTTTACCGTTGTGGAGATAAAAATGCGATTGTGTAAACCGCTACAAATTAAAACTACGTGCTATGAGCAAGTACTATATTACACATAATACTTAATTTTTTAACCACAATCAAAGTACCGAAGTTACAACAATTGTCGAAAGTAAGCCAAACATTTTTTACTTTTATTTATCGAATTACAAAAACTTACACATTTGTTTCAACACATAATATACATAGTTTAAATGATAATAATGTATGCATAAATTAGAAATTTACAAATTACAAGAAAAATAATTTCTGTTTATACGACAAAATCACCAACCCAAATACTGAAAAAACTGTTAAAGCAAGACCAAAAATTACCAGGGAGATTGAAAAATTAGATTATCAGAAATAAATCTTGAGGTGTAACATACGATTCAAGAGTCTAAAACAAAATAGAAGTTAGCAAGAAAAACTAAAGACTAAAGAAAAAAACCAACACTGCGTAGATTGATAAAAAAATAGGTTTCGAAAATGTGTATATAAAATTTTTCTTTTCATGAAATAAGCTAAACAATTACTCCTTTGGGTTTGTATATGCTATTTCGGAGCACCCCGTAAGTTAACCAACTGCTAATTTCTTTGTGCTCCAGTTGCTTCACGTTCTGTCGTGTTATAGCATTTAAATATACACTAATTGAAAACTATTGGGAACGTGATGTATTATTCACTCCAAAGCCCATTTATATTATTTATGATCGAGGATTGACAATAAATAAATAAATAAAATTCGCCGCTGATTTCTACTGCCTACGTTTCCCAGCATTCTTAGGGCCTCTAAAATTCCTCTCTCAATGTGCTTTATTCATGCCTGCTAAAAAGCTCAATATCTAGAAATCTACCTTGTCCTGCTTGTTGGTCAACACCTTTTTCTTTTCTCTGATTTGTAGTTAATTCTTATTCAATCTTAAGATATATTTAAAAAGATTTTTATTTTCGCTTAACAAAGTTGTTAGAGTAATTTGCAGTACTGCTTTGCGGAACAACTTCTAGACATTTACATTTGAAATCATATAAGTTCACATCTAAGGTTTACAAGGCCATTAGCCTTAGGCCGAAAACCTCTTCAAATCTTTGCGCTTTTATTGTAATTTCTATTAAGGAATATCTGCTAAAAACAAAATTTCCGATGCAGCTATCAATTTCTTACTCTCATAGTTGATTTGATGTTGCAAAATTTACTTCGTTAATTGATTTTAAGTTTTCAATACCGTACACTCATTACATAATTTTTGCGCATGTTTTTATCATCAGATGAATATTTTTGAAGTCACTTTATAAGCCCAATTTTCCATTGTTTGCAAGCATTGATGATAAAACTGTTGGAATTTAATTTTCTTTAACCATTAATTACTGTTGCTTACTTTATACAATTACAATTACTTGATACAAAGTTTCTTCAAAAGTTCGAAACCAAGGAAAATATTAGCAAAATATTTCAATTCGTTTCTTAGACTGTGTGCTTGTTCGGTGCTTATATAAACGTCACTTTTTCTAACTAAAAATAAATTTAAAACAGAAACTGTGCAAATTTAAGTTTGAAATGCTAAAAATGCCAATAGTTGGACAACTGAACATGGAATTACTTCAAAATATTGCTAAGTTGAAATTACATTTTCAGAGATCTAATACTTATATTCGAAAACTAAACTCAATTTAAAAAATATATTCTTTTCACACTCTTCAAACCCCAAAGGGAAGGTGGCCTCTTCAAAAGGCAAAAGTGACCTAATTTTATATTTCCATGATTATTAATTAAATTCACAGAAGTAAGGATCTGAAGAAATTATTAGATGCTTGTTTAGAAAATGTGCTTTTGCTTTTCGTCAATATTTTCAACTGCATTTTAGCGGTAACATTCTAAAAATCAACGACGAATCATATATTCAGATGTGGTTAAAAACGTTGTTTAGCCATGTTATACTATGTATGACACACTTTGTTGACAACTTTTATAATATCTCATATTTAGATAAACTCGAATTTTTGAGAAATAATTTATTTTTATCTTTTATCAGATTATTTTTTTATTATCTTATTTTAACACATGTGTATAAATAACTGGTAAATATACAGTACCAGAAATGTTGACTGCAAATTAGGCGACCTGATCTATTTTTATTTAACTGTTGATGATAAATATCTCTAATGGCATTTTAAAAATGAACAATGTGTTAGAAGCCTTAAATACAAAACGTATTAAAAAGAGTTTGGCAATATAGTGATATTAGGGGAAAATAAGTATTTTAAAAACACATTTCTGGACAACTCTGCAACCCATGCAACTTTGTCTCTTTTTACATCCGACTTCTGCAGTTTAACGGTGTATCTATTTGTGTCTGTATGTTATGGTGACTATGTTAAGTCACAGAATGTCTTATGAATAGCAGCCCAAATTCAAAAAGTTTATTGAAGAGACATATCTAAAATTATTTGAACATCATTATAGAACACCCTGTAAACACCCAAAATAATTACCTTTAGCTGGCAAAGTCCATTTTCTATCCCTTCTATTTTAGATAAATGGGTTAGTTTTGATTATGTTTCTTTTGTGGCCTCACTTATTGGTGTCCTTCAAAGTTTAATCTTCTCGGAAAGAATATCCGCTATACCTACTGTTTTTTTTCATTTTTGCCATCTCTATTGTTAGGACAATCATCTGGTTAACGTGAACTGTTTTCTGTCTCATTCTCTAGTGAATAGCCAGTAATGGATTTTGTTCAAGCAGCTTTTGCGAATTTCCTTCCCTTATCAGTGTTACGATAAGAACAGGTTTTTTCAAAGCAATATTGTACAATTCAAGCTATATTGATTCAAAAGTGTTGCACATTCAACAGATCGATCACTTTTCTTAGTCGCCTTTTCATTGCAGTTGGTTGGTAGTCAGCATCAGTATTGTTTCGTACTTCAGAATTAGTAGAATGGCATAAACCTTTCTCGCCTATTTTTTGTCTATATTTAGTCCTTCTATATTTAGTTTTTCTTGTTTCGCATTATTCACTATTAACTCTTCTGTTTTTTTATTAATCGATTGAGATTGATGAAAGTGTAAACCAATTGCTTATTTTTTTATTAACAGTAAATTGCAGTTTCGACTAAGTAAAACTACAATTCATTTAAGTATGTGCACCATCACGTTAATTTTGCTGATCGAATTTTTACGTTAACGCAAGAAATTAGTGTGAAGTTGATAAGATATGTTTTTAACGGAAATTAACTATTTTATCGTCTAAATCGCGTCAAATCCTCTATTATGTCTTAGAATGATTTCGCAATAAAACATATTTATTTCAGATAAATCATTATTATGAAATATTTTCAGGTTAAATTTGAAATGTATTGAATCAAAATAATGTGAATCCAGTGAATGATATGAATGAACTTTCTTTATGAGTTGCCATATACAAAACGTTAGTGTGTTATATTAAAATTCTACTAGTTTAAAACATCGTAAACATTTCGAGATGTGAATCTCAGCATCCCAGGAGTTTCGAGCCGGTTACCTATCATCAACTGGGTTTAGCCTGGAAGCAACACCAAAATCTGCCGCTTATTTCACCCATGTATTTTACATCGGCTCAGAACTATTTTTTTGTAGAACTGCTTTATGAGAAACACAACCATGTTCCTAATTGAAGCAACTCCGTCATAAGAACATTTTTGAACAACAACGAAACCATAAACAATTACAGCAGCATCATCATACTCATTGCTTACATTCAATGTAAAATATATGGGCGAAAGAAAATCCGATGCAATGAACCCAGCTGATGAGAGCTAATAGACTCGAAACTTTTCTTGGGGATGCTGGAGATTAGTAGGTACATTTCCAAATATTCACTTGCTTGTTACCGAAAGTTTAATTTCATTGTTGTTCAGTATCTTAATTGACCATTATTTAAGTACTGTGGGAATCTCACACCCAGTACCCGTTGACTAAATTGGGGACTCGGATAAATTGACTACAACGGATTGAGGGCCTATTGATCTCAATAATCTCAATAGTCAACGATAAATAAAGTACAAATTGAACTCGTTCTCGTTCTCTCATTACGGTGAGACGCACCCACCCATTAATATTATAAATATTCAAATTAGGCCGCCATCACTAAGAAGGTCGAAAAGGCTTCGCAATGCATGGTCCCTAAGTGGTGTTCGTTTTTTCTTCAA